AAAATAAAGGAAGCTGAGATACAAGATGAAACACAATACGTAATGTCGGCAGTTGGAGAAATTACTGAAAAAGTAGAGGAAAAAGATTTTTGGAACCTAGAGACTATTGGTATTCGAGATCCGGGATTGACCATTCCAGATGATGAAATAGCTTGGAAGCAATTCAGGGAGTCAATCAACCAATTACCTGATGGACGCTATGAAGTAGGCTGGCCGTGGCGAATCGAATCGAAAAGGACACTACAAACGAATTTTGGGGTTTCATTAGGCCGACTCAGATCTCTTTGGAAAAAATACCGAGAAAACCCCGAAGTTTTGGAAGCAATTGACAAAACGATTAAGGAACAGTTGGATTTAAATATGATTGAAATAGCACCAAAAAACACAAACATAGTCCATTACCTCCCTCACCAACCTGTTTTCAAAAGTTCTTCATCATTCACTAAATTAAGAGTCGTATTCGATGCAGGTTCTGGAAAAACACCATTAAATAATGAATTACTTAGAGGAGCTGTCCTACTTCCACAATTGCCAGGCGTACTGATCAGAACACTTATGTTCAATAACCTTTTGATCGCTGATATTGCTAAAGCTTTTTTACAGATCCAATTGAGACCGGGAGATAGGGACGTTACTAGATTCCTCTGGGTGAAAGATATAAAACACCAACCGGAATACACAAATTTAATCAGTTACAGATTTACTCGTGTATTATTCGGAGTCATTTCAAGTCCATTTCTCCTTATAGCTACAATATTACATCATCTCGAGAATATAAAAAGTCCTTTGTGTGAGGAAATTAAAACAAATTTGTATATGGACAATATAATTCTTGGGGCTAAAAATACTAACGAGATAAAAGAAAAATATAGAGAATTAATTCAGATATTTAATAAAGCAAAAATGAGAGTTAGAGAATTTTGTTGCAATTCAGTCGAAGGAAATAATATGTTCGAGGAAAATGACAAGCACCCTAGTATAGAAACCAAATCCCTTAAATTCCTAGGAATAAAATGGGAAATAGAAAAAGATGAGTATTGCCAAAAATTACCAAGTGGTAATTATCAAAATATGACCAAAAGGGAACTCCTGTCACTGATTCACTCAATTTTTGATCCGCTAGGATTGATTGGTCCAACATTACTTCCAGCTAAACTTCTTTATCAAAAAGTCTGTGCTCGTAACATAAATTGGAATGATAAATTAGAAGAAAATGAATTAAATGAAATAAATCAAATAATAGATAGCTGGGTTGAACAGGAATTCAACAGGCCCAGAAAAATAGTCCACGGCTGTGATAACACCGAAACGCTACAAATGCACTGCCGGATATGCCTATATAACAATTCTATTTTTAGCAAAAATTAGGCTTGTATTTGTTTTATGGGGACATGTAATTCTAAGGTATATATTTACAGCGTAAGCTTTCATAGAGGAATCAGCGAAACAGTGCAACTGTAGAATTTCGGTGTTATCACATCCATGGATTATTTTTCTGGGCCTGCTGAATTCCTGTTCTACCCAACCATCTATTATTTGATTTATTTCATTTAATTCGTTTTCTTCTAATTTATCATTCCAATTTATGTTACGAGCACAAATTTTTTGATAAAGAAGTTTAGCTGGAAGTAATGTTGGACCAATCAATTATCTAATAATGTTAAGAGAAAGAAAAGATGAACATAATAATCCCAAATTTTCGGCAAAAGGAACCCCGCAAGTAGGTGAGATAGTTCAAATTTATGATGAAAAGTTACCAAAAGGCTGCTGGAAAATTGGAAAAGTAATAGAAAATAACAAAAACAGATCAATAAAATTAAAATTGGGAAATGGCAAAATATTAATTCGACCACCTAACCATTTATACAGCCTAGAGATCCCAAGAAATGAAGAAAACGAGGTGATTAAAGAACAAAGTAGCATACTAAGAGCGAAACATAAAAAGCGAAAAGTTATGGATAATATACTTCTTTTTTGCATCCTCGCAATTATGTTACCGGGAAGTCTCCTACAATCTCCAATGATATGCCCAGGACAGAAAAATCAAATGTATTGGAGAATAAAGAAAAATCACCAACCTTGTGTGAATTTTACAGAAAATCCACCTCTCCCTACAACACACAGCTTTGACATCTATCAACCAAATATAGACCTTGTTCCAATACCAGCTGCACATTGCTCCATATTAAGCACAAATTACAAATACAAAAAGGATTTATTAAACATACCACACATTTTTTTGACAAACAGAAAAGAAGAAATAAGCATAGAAGAATGCAACAGAATATGGAAAAAATCAAAATGTAGATTAGGGGAATTAACTGGAAACAGAAATACAAGTCATACAAATAATAAAGCGAAAATAGAATACTCTTATTGGTCAATCGGATATCAAGAAACAAGCGAATCAAATTGTTTCCTAAGTAAAATAAGCATTTACGCTAAACCAGATTCATCTTCAATATTTTCCCAAGGAGTTGATATTTCACATTGCCGATATGAAAACGCAGCTTGTCTTTTAGAAGATGATTCACTGATTATTTGGGAAGCAGAAAATAAAGAAAAAAACGAAAAAATGTGTAAATTTTCAAGAGTTAGGAAATGGAAAGGCACTTGGATGGGTAGAATTTGGTTAGCTGATAATAAAGAGATAGGAATTTCATTTACAAATAACCCCACAAAAATAATAGATTGTAATAAAGAATTAATCATAAGCGAGCAAGGTTACGCAGTACCAGCACAGCAATACCAAATATTGAGCTTAAAAGAAAAAATAAGGAGAAAACGAGAAAATAAAAACACAAGAAGCGGATTAATTTTGAGTAACCAATTAGCCGCAGAACTAACAGCCACCGAAATACTCTCTACAGAGAAAGTTAAAAAAGTATTCAACCATTTGACTAGTATCCTTTGTGCCAAAGATATTAACGGAGAACACCAAAACAAATTAATAAGCGGAACCGACAGCAACATTGTAGCTAAGTTAATCATGAATACACCATATGTCTTAGGTAAATGGATATCCAATGAAATATTAGAGACAAGAACATGCTTTCCAATACCTTATGAGAACATCACATTTCTACCGAATGAAAAATGCTACAAAGAGATCCCAATAAATGTCACTTTAAAAGAAAAAATAATAAAAGCATTTCTTGAACCAAAAACATTAACTATAGTAGAAAAGGCAAGCGAAACACCTTGTTCATATGAGAGATTCATAACTATATTTATCGGGAAAAAATTGTTGAGAATTGATCAAAAGACGGGAAAAAGTAAAGAAATAAATGAAAAACAAATACATGAATTAACACTCGACCTACAAAAGCCAATACACCTCCCTCAAATTGAAACACACGCATTCCACAACTTAATTATAAAGAACTATAGTGACCCTAGAATTGAAATTCTCCAAATGTTCCAAACCTATGGAATAGACAAAAAATTTGAACAAGAAAAAATTGAAAATGCAATAAAAAATGGAGAATACGTACACACCGAAGAATCAGTTAAAAATCCATTAACAAGCATTCTTGAAAAAATTTGGGAAATTAATCTTGAAAAATTGTGGATTAGAATGGTAGCACTGTATATAACATACATCTGGCTATTCGACAATATTCTCCCTTTTCTACTTAAATACATAAAAAATACTAGAATCGGAAGATTCTTGGCACAGGTATTAACAATAATAGTAAAAACACCCGAATCAGAAAAAACAGAAGAAATAATCATGAACACAATAATGAGGAAAATTAAGGATGAGAAGAAAGACGAAGAAGAAAGAAACGAAGAAATACGTCTTCGCGCGGCCGCCAGTGTCGTGTAAGGAACACGAAATTATAATTATTTAATAAATTTAAATATTTCCTCCTATTTTTCCCTTTATTTCACCTGTCCGCGACAGGCAATTTCATAAATTATTTTCCCATAAACATCCACTTTGACCCCTTCTTCTCTCTTCTTTTTCCGGAAACTATTGTCTTTTCACCCCTAGTTAATACTATTTTCCATATCACTTCTCTATTCACTATTGTTTAAATCTCTGCCTATTGTCCATTATATCCCCTATATAAACAATAGGCAGATCTTCCCTATCATCTTCAGTTTTCAATTTTCCATTAATTCTTTACAAAAATATTTAATTGTATTTTTAATTTTAAAGATAAATATTTTATTTAAATTCACTTTATTCAATAACTCTTGGGACCTAGCTTCCCTAAAAATTTATTTGTCAAAGTAAGCCTTTAGTTGACACTTAGGCATTTTTATAATTTTGATTTTTTCGTTTCGTTTCGTTTCGTTTCGTGAAAATTGGGATTTTTTTCGTTTCTTTCGTTTCGAAAAAATAAAAATTATTTTTTCGTGCCGTTTTCGTTTCGTACAATGACGAATTTATTTTTTTTCGTTTTCGTTTCGTTGAGTGCTAAATTTTATTTTCGTCCATCTCTGTTCTGGATAGTACATTGCCCTATTGAAAAAAGTTTCTCACAACAATTCCGTTATGTCCACCCCTCTCCGTGTCGATGTGTCCGTCCCTTATAAATAATAATCAAGATTAACATACAAATCATCATTTTTTAAATATTCACAATGAAGTATGCCAATTACGGGCATAACAAAATCTTTCCGTATAAATGTATCAGCGCCAAGTTCGTAAGAAAGATAGCTATTAACAAAAGATGCACCATAGTAAAGCGTGTGCCGAAGTAGAGCAATCTGAGTGAAAATTTTTCGAAATTTTTCAGAAATTTTAATTAAGAAAATCTTCTAATATTATGAAATAAAAAGGAGTGATTGTCGATAAAATAATGGAACTTACAAGCAAGTTACGTCAAAGCTTCATTAAAGCTTATAAAGTTTTGTTAAAAATACCCCCCCCCCCCAAAAAAAACACCCCTCCGGTTACACAGCCTAAAAACAGGTAAACAAAAGGATAAAGTGAAAGATGGTAGGCCGATACAAAAATAGAGAGTTGGGACAAATAGAAAATTAATCATTGATAAACAAGTTTATTGAAAACCAAATATTAACTCCAATATACCTGATCCGATATAGATAATTTAATAAATACAGGCATAGTTCTTGCAAAAGCAACAAAGACCATTCTCTCAACAATAATACTTTTAATAACTCTTTTATTAAATATTCCAACAGTTTCTATATCTAATCTCCACTCATCCAATTCCTTCTCAGAAATAGGCGAAGGATTTGGCTAAAAGAAGGGTATATTATCCAATTTTTTAAATTAAAATTTTACCGAAAACGAATTAATTAGATTAAAAACATTAAATCCAGAAAGAATAATATCCTCTAATTTAAGCGGGCCTTCCAAAAATATATCGTCTAAATCAGTAAATGCATGCAATATCCGCCTTTTAGCGTCAACAAATTTTATTAAAGAATTAATCTCTATACGATCAGCGTCACAAAGAGTAAAGAAGGTTGAAGCAACATGCTTAATTATAGAATAATTATTATGTCCTTCAACAAGCTTTTTAGCCAATAGAATATCGAAATCATAGATCTTTCCTCTTATCACTAAGGGAACCTGAAAAGTCCAAATACCCGGAAATTTTCGGTTCGTGTTCCGGATATCCGGAGATCACCCAGGACCCCCCCCCCCCCCCCCCCCCACCCATTCTTATGTATCTTTCCTCTTATAGGAGAGAGGTTTCTCCCTTCATTGCAACGTGCAACTTTTTGCTTTATTAGCTAAATTACGATAAAACTCTGCCTGCCTTAAATCAGTTTTGTATAATCTTAGCTAACAGACAGGTATCGTTACTAACGAACAGGTATCGTTACAGGTATTGTTCTTGTAATACAATAGACCGATCTTCTGTTCGATAATGTCGTGGTATAATTTTCATGAATAAAAAAGGCGTTCAAAAGAAATACATTTGCCTCTCAGATCACTAATTTTATTCGCTAATTTTTTATTTTTTGGTGACTATATAACCAAAATTTTCAAAAATTGATTGACCAAAATTCCAAAAACTTCCAAATTTTAAATATAATCTTACCGTTTGATTTTTTGTAACTATTTTATTTTCACATCCTTTGGTATCTTTATCTTCATTCCCATCATCTTTCACAGATTCAGGACATATATCATAACGCAAATATGGAATTTCTTAAATATATTGAACTCATTTCATCAAGTAAATTATTCTCTTGTTTTAATATATAAATTAAAGTAACGGACTACTGGTTCTAGAATACAGAACGGGACACTTATCGCTCTTAAACCTTCTAAACCCCTTGATACTCTTTCAAAAATCGTAGAGTTTAAGGTCAATAGACAATGAGGATGTAGGCCCGCAGAGTTACACTAGGTATAGAGTTTGCAAAAGTTTAGTCACCGGGCAGGATTCGAACCTGCGACCACCTGCTGGTTGTTGCTAGGCGCTTTCGCTCAAGATATGCAGGAGCTGTACCTCTAAGCTACCGGGGCATCGACTAAGCTTTCTCTTTTTCTTTTTAGATTGTTTAACCCCCGCCTAAGCGTTTTAATTGCTGCTAAGTGAATCAACCTTACACTATTCATGGATGGACTCAGATAAATTACAATTACCAATTTAGTATTTTAAATTAATTTTTTACTTGGTTTTTTCATTCCAACAGCAAGACACTTTTCAAGTCGACACCCTTTACAAACTAACCGGAATTCTTTATTTGTGTTTTTATCAACAACAATTTTACTTTTAATTTCAGTTGTTTTTGTCAGACAAACACATTCATATTTCCCCTCTTTTTGTTCGAGATAACGACTTTTTAAATTAATTTTTTATTAAAAAATAATTTTTTAAAAATACGTAAAGAAAGCTCCACATGCTTTACATGTACGGACACAATAATGATTGTAAACATTCTTTGTTGATCCACAAACTTTACAATCTTTCACATAATTTTTATTCATTTAATCAACTTGCTTTTAATTTAATAAAATGACTAAAAAATAATTTAATAAATAAAAAAATAAAAAATTAATTTAGCATATAAGGGTGTTTTAATAGTAGGGAGTATGGTACGGTACAAAATTCCGACCCCATTTTTTTGCTCGTACTCGTACTTCGTACCAGATACGAGTACGAGAGTACGAGTACAAATTTTGGTACGTGCTTCGAAGCTGTTATTAACTAATTCACCTCCAATGCCCAATTTAGTTACAAAAACGGCCAATTTAATTCCGGTGTTGATACTTTTTCGAGATAGTCTAATTATGGATCGGAAAAATCAAATTCAAATCGCCATATCCCTTGAAATCCATGCAAATCCCTAAATCCTATTTGATACTACAAATTTTCTGATATTACCGATTTAGTGAGTAAAAATGGAATGTTACGAAACGAAAAAAACGCGAAACGAAATGAAAACCGTCAAAAAATCCACGAAAATCTACGAAACATGCAACGAAAAATTTTCGTGCATCTCTGATTCCAATCACTAGTTTTTAAGCCCCGATTTTTAGTTGAATTTTCAGGTTTTGAGTTTTTTGGAAATTTTCGGAAATCATAAAAAAACTTGAAAACCATTAGGTGAAAATTAGATTGGATCCGGAGTCAGGATTAAGGCATTTTTCAAGGTTTCTTGATTTTTCCTGAACTTAATGTCAAGAATCTGGTCAAGGTTCTCACTTAGAAAAGATAAAGGCCAAGGTTTTTTAAAAATCCCAATCTCAACTGAAAATTGAGTTTTTGATTGATTGATTGATAATAACTATTCCTTAATAATTAATTCGATTTAAGTAAAATCTGCCTTTTTTTTTATTAGTAAAAATTTATTTATAACAGGGTTTCGATATCTGCGGATTTTTCCTCATTTTGAGGTTTTTTGATAGGTCGATAAGGATTATTTTTAAAAATCCGGATTTGCGGATTTTTGTGGTCTTTTAAAGATTGAGGATTTTTATATTTTTTTTTTGTGCTTTTTAGGATAAAACATCTTCCGCGACAAAAATGCAAGTGTAATTTTTCAGATACCTAATTGTCGTAGTGATAAAAAATTGCTTAATTCAATTGTAGAAGACGAAAAATATAATGCATAAAATGATTTTAATTCAATTTTTGTGTTTGATAATTTTTTGCGGATTTTTTCGGTCAAATTTGCGGATTTTTAAAAATTTGAGATCGAAACCCTGATTTATAAGCATATAAATTTAGTAGTTTATTAAATAAAATTAATATTAATAAAATTAAATTTAAATAAGTTTGTTTGATTAGATATTTTATTTGAGGTTTTTAATAAAATTTTTAGTTTTTAATAAGCTTTTTCTTTGGTTGGCTCAAGTTTATTTTATTTGTTTAGATGCTCCAACTTGGCTAAATTGTGAACTAAAATTGATTGAATTAAAAATTTTTTTTCTTAATGTCAGCACGTTTAAATTTATTAATTATCCAATAAAAAAAATTTTTTTTGAAACTTTTTTTGCGTGGTAGCTTACTCTGATATTAAAAAGATTAAATTTTATAAAGTTATTAGAAAAACAAAGAAGATTCGGATATCTTTTATATTTTATATGTCGACTAGAAATTCATGATAGAAACTAGGGTTGTTGGCGAACGGTTAACCGAACCGGAACCGTTAACCGGTGTTTTTGGCGAATTAACCGGAACCGAAAACCGGGGGTCGAAAACCGGCGATAACCGAAAACCGAGGGTACCGGTTAATAACCGGTCGCCAACAACCCTGATAGAAACAATCATTTCTATCTACATAATTAATAATTTTTTTTCCTATTTTCTTCGCTGCCTCTTCAGCTAATCATTTCCAATGATATATAAAGTAGTATCCCAAACAAAGGGTGTCAAGGCGACGTCAGTTATGTCAAAATCCCAATCTCTACCTTTTAAACGCGTCAATATACCTCCTTTAACATCAGTCCAACTAGCATCTGTTAAGCCTCCAATTTCAGGGATTAGACCCAATATTGCTCCATCAAATTTGATGTTTCCAATTTTATAGCTGGCTTTTTAGCAAGCCTGGCCAGTCCTAAAACTTTTTATTAAAAATGAATTTAAATTATATTAAAACTAGGTAGTCTAGCCCCCAATATAAATGAACCCCCAAAATATTCCTGGATCTAGAAATTCATTTTTCAAGACCATTTTTAGCTATTATTTCGTAGTAACTTACAATTATCGAAATTTGTTTCGCAATTGTAGTATGCTTCGATTTCGATGTCATTTTCTATTTTAGTAACCAATTTTTCGAACTTAAAGACGGTTTTGTTGTTAGTTCTTTCACCACTTTTCCAAAAATATAATCTTCATATTTTTGTCACCCACAATCTTATAAAGCCTGCCGGAAACGTTGTTATTCTTAATGAAATTTTGTTAGTTTTATTTAGCTATATAAAATTCGCATCCTCAGTGAGGACGAAATGTAATCAAATTATCATTTGTTGATGAAATATAGGGTAGGACAAAGCCGGTTATTAACCGGTCACCCGGTTAATGTTTAAACGGGTTTTTAGAAACCCAAATATTCTTTTGTCCTAAAAAACGAAAATAGAAAAATTCACTATCAGACAGGTTTATTCCAGGGGTGTGCGAGTTTCGCGTTTCACTTTTTAAATTTAATTTCGCCTTTCGCGTTTCGCTTTTTAAAATCCGTTTCGGCACACCCCTGGTTTATTCCATAATTGCAATTGGCAGCGATTGAAACATTCTCATGCCTTTCCGGAGACATAAAAATCATCTTGAAATTACGCACATTTCTTGATAGCATCACAGCATGTTCATCTTCACACGGAGCTTCAAACTTGTCGAGAATGGAATCAAATTTCCATACATGACCATTCTTTTTTGCTGCTCTGCAGTATTTTTCTGCCATTTTTATTCCAATTTCCATTACATAATCAAATATGGATGCATGTGTGTTGATTCGCTTCAGCGAATCAACATTTATTCACGGATAATTAGTTTCACTAAAAAATTTTCAATTTAAAATATATATATGAACTGTAAGTAAAGCCTAATGGTTCTTGAGACCGCAAAACGCATTGCACACGCCCCTGATTGCGATGCGTTCTTGAGATAAGTTGGAAATTACTTTATATAAAATATGGTAATCTCGAAGTTAGGGCTTCATCGCTTACCGTGAACATGAATATTTGCATGAGAACTTTGGATCATTTTTGCATTAATACTCGCAATTTGGACACGGGAATGTTTCCCTTGAAGTTTCGCATTGAGCACAATACCTTTTAAAATAAAAAATGAATTTGATGATTGGTCCGAATATTTTTGTGTAATTATTTTGAAAGTTTAATGGTTTAAAAATCATAAATTGAGTAGCTAGGCACCAAAATTTAAAATTAAATAAAAATTATAATTGATTTCAACTTAAATATAAGTTTGTCCTTATCTTTGAGGTCACCTGAGTTTCAATATTTGCGACCATTTTTCTCCGAGTTACTTTGATATTTAAAGCTGTGTTTACAAAATATCAAAGATCCATTCCATTGAAGCTCTTTTCAATTGGGATAATTTTTCATTACATGAAGCTGGAAGCTCCCCCAATCAAGGTAGGATTAGTCGGATTGGCAGTTGGCCCGGATAAAAGAATAATATTTTTAGAGAATAAATAAAATATTTTTTTAATTTAATATTTAAATACCGTAAATGCTCTAATTAAAGCCCTGAGCGTCTACTGTTCAATGGGTCAATTTGGATGGGCTTATATTAGATATGGGCTTCTATTAGGGAATGGACATTGACATCTATTAGGGAACGGACGCTAATTTTGATGGGCCTCCTTGGGTGGGCTTATATTATGTAGATATGGGTTTTTAATAGAGCCGGGCTTTAATTAAAGCATTTAAATAGGTAATAATTTTATTTTAATTTAATTAGCAGTCAAAATTTACTTATTTATATACTCCTTTTTAGCTTAAATTAATTATGATGATTATTCATGGGAAATGAATTCAAAATTAATTTTTTATGTTAAAATCGTACAATTCCCTTAAAGTAAATTTGGCTAAAATTATATAATTTTGGGTAATTTTAGTTAATAAAAAATATTATTTTCTAGAATCATTTATTTTTTAATTAAATATTTTGTTGTGAGAAAAATTTTAATTTATGAATCAACAAAAAATTAATTTTTTGTTTAATTATATTATTATTAATTTTGTAAATGAAAAATAATTTTTTATTTAAAAAATAGTAAAAATCCCTAAAATACCTGTCGATTTATTTGTAAAAATGAATGAAGAATTTTTTCTAAAATTAAAAAAATTTTTTTTTAATTTTCCTAATTACTTTAGAAAAAAAGGTATCGTGAAAAAGGTAACAGAAAAGGTATCGTGGGCTTAAGATGGCGGTCTTAAATTTGAGACCCAATGAAGGGATACTAAGATTTTAGGAGGAATTATGAATGGATTTAGAAATAAAGATATCGAAGGATTTTAGGATATCGTGAAATCTTATCTAAGGATTGTGGTCTTATCTAAGGACTTTCAAATAGCCTCGATCATCCTAAATCCCCTTATAGTCACTCAAATCCCCTTAATCCTTTCAAATTCATTTAGCCACTCAAATCCCCTTAAGCGAATTTATATAGCGAATTTTATATATGGATATAAGCAAATTTGAAAGAATTAAGGAGATTTGATTGAATATAAGGGGATTCAGAAGGATTGAGGTGATTTGAAGGGATATCGCAAGATTAATCCACAATCCCTAGATAAATTTTCACAATATCCTAAAATCCTTCGATATCTTTGCTATCTCTAAATGCATTCATAATTCCGCCTAAAATCTCAGTATCCCTTCATTGGGTCTCAAATTCAAGGCCGCAGGCAAAATCTTGGGAATTCATACAGTAATATGCAAAATTATATTTTATTTTATTTAAATTTTTTTTGCAAAAATTTATTTTTCAAAATTAAGAGGGCGACGATTAAAGGGAAGGCAAGAAAAATAAAATCTTATGACTTTGTTTTTTAATTTTTTATTTAAAAGGCACGAGGAGGGAAGAGGGAAAACACGAGGATAGAGGAGAGGAAAAAATAGTCCCTTCAAAGGGATTTAGCCGATTTTATTAAATTAAATAAAAATATATGTATAGCCCAAGACTTGCCCAGGCTTTGCCCAAGCTTTCATAATTTCTTAAGAAATTTTAAAAAGTGTAAGATAGATAGAATAAAAAAATAGTAGAGAAAAAAAGAAAAATAAAAAAATTTCTTTAGACATATTGGAGTCTAATCAAAAAATTAAAATTTTCCTTGGGGAAATTCTGAAAATTAAAAAAAATAAAATTCAAGTCAAGAAAGGCTGGAGAGTTTATTGTTGTTTTTGACTTTCCAAAATTTTCAAAATATTTTTGTAGCTTACTTACATTTAATATTTTCTCGATCACATCCGTATGTATAATGATCATGTACATTCTTAAACAGAAAAAAATCC